GGGGGGGGGGGGGGGGGGGGGGTGCAGAGGCTGCAGGGTGAGGAGGAGCAGGGCAGGCAAGCAAGGGCATAGAGGCTGCAGGGGCTGCGGGGCGAGTGGGGAGCAGGGAAGCACTTAGCAACCCCCAACCAAGATCAGAGCGGGAGGGAGGAGGGGGAATGCGGGGTGCTTAGAGGAGGGGGCAGAGTTGGGGCAGGGACTTTGGGGAAGTGGTTGGAATGAGGGCGGAGATGGGGTGGGGTTGGGGCGGGGCCGGGGGCAGGGAAGGGGCGGAGTTGGGGCAGGGCCGGGGGCAGGACCGGGGCCCCGTGGAGTGTCCTCTTTTTTAAATGTTTGAATATGGTAACCCTAGTTGAGGTCAATCACCAATTCTGGCACCACATTGTTGACTGCCCTTGGTGCAGTCTCTCTAAGGGTTCCAGCTTTCTCCGAACTGGTCCCCTTCAATTTGCCTCCCATTAGACCTGTCCATAAATTAACCTAAATTGAGTCTATCAGCCCTTAAACTCCAGGTTTGCAGTTGTCTTTTGTCTCCTTTGTCCAGTTTCTTAGAGGCAGCCTGGTGTGAGACTGTTGCCCCTCCGCTATCTCAGACCTTTCTGCCTCCCTTTTCCTCTGTGTTCTTCCTCTTTATAGCTGTTTTCTTTATTGGCCCACTTGTGGGTTCATGCCTTGGCAACTGCGCAGGGGTATGGACAGCCTGATTGCCTGTAAACAGGGAAGTCTTTTCTCCCATCTGCCTATGCATGGTATGGGGTTTGTAAACTACAAATGGGCATTCTGAAATGAAGACAGACATATGGCCAGATCCTCAGCTGGTTTAAGCTCCATTGATTTTGAAAACAAAGTGATTTATGCCAGCTTAATATGTGGCTCGGTGTTTAGTGAAATGGGGTTGCAAATTATTCATATTAAAATTGCGCTGTATCTCACCCTGTTGCAGTCCAAATGCATAACTTGTCTGTTTGTCCAGTTTTCAGACTGGCATATCTGAGAGATAAGGGGTGGGTGAGGTAATATCTTTTATTGGACCAACTTTATTAAATTGGTCCAATAAAAGATATTGCCTCACCTACCTGGTCTCTCTAATATCCTTGGACCAACACAGCTCCAACACCACTGCATGTCTGAGACAGACTTGGCTATGCCATGAACTATAATCTTCCCTGTCATTGTGCTTGGTAAACTGTCCCCTCCTATAGGTGTAGTTCCCAGTTTGGGACCAGCAGTAGGGCTTTTTCTCTTTTGGTGGGGGCCACCTGGCTGCAGTGTCTGAATTTTGGGAACAGGGTGCAAGGAGGTGTCATAAGTAAAAATGCCTTAAGTGTGAGATTCTGTGTGGGAATCAGGAGTTGTGGTTATAAGTTTCAAGATAGGGAAAGATAGGTTAAAGCTTCCACAATGTCTAAACTTCCACTGTGGCTAAGCTAGAGAAAGAGAAAAATAAGCTAGAGCAGTGTTTCTCAACCAGGGGTACATTTACCCCATGGCTACTTAGAGGTCTTTCAGGGGGTACTCAGCTCATCTAGATCAGTGTTTCTCAACCTGGGGCTTGCAGCCCCAAGGGTGGTCATGGGATAGGTTTAGGAAGGTAACAAATGCAGGGCCGGCATGAGGAGGTGACAAGCAAGGCAACTGCCCAGGGCCCCACGCCATAGGGACCCCCTGCGAAGCTAAGCTACATGCTTCAGCCCCAGGTGGTAGGGCTTCAGCTTCACTGCCTGGTGGCAGGGCTTGGGCTCCAGTTCTGGGGCGGCAGGCCTTATGCTTCAGGCTCACATTTCAGTATGATACTTAAGTACAATATTTATATTCCAGTTGATTTATTTCATAATTATATGGTAAAAATGAAAAAGTAGGCAATTTTTCAGGAATAGCGTGCTACGTAGCTTTTGGGGCCTCACATTCTATCCAAGTTCTAGCAATGAGATTGGAGGTGGCTAAGGAAAAACTTGCCACCAGACCAGTTTACACCCTCTGGAATTTGTTGAACAAATTCCCCCTTTTCCAGAAGCATGTGTGAGCGTGGCGGACTGGGAAAGAGAGGGTGGTGCCTGTGACACTAAGCACCCCTGTGTTCACACCCTACACACTATTGTAATAATCTTTGTACAAAATATGCCTTGAAGGGTATCATTTGAAAACACAGGGCAATAATATCATGGAAAAATATATGTAGCAACATTTATATGTATAGTTATGAAATCCCCCTGTACATAGGTGCCAACTTCCCCAGTTCCTGGGGGGTGCTCAACTCCAGGTCCCGCTCCCACCCCTGCTCTTCCCCCAAGTTCCCCCCCACTTCTTCCTGCCCCCACTCCTCCCTCTTCTCTCCCCTCCTCCCCCACCTCCTGAATGCCCCTGAATAGCTGATTGTGGCAGGCAGGAGGCACTGGGAGGGAGGTGGAGGAGCTGATCTACGGGGCTTCCAGTGGGTGCTGAGCACCCACTTTTTTTTTACGTGGGTGCTCCGGGGCTGAAGCACCCACGGAGTCGGCACCTATGCCCCTATATGAGGTTATTAGAACATGTTCAAAACCACACAGCCCTGCCTAGGCAGAAGTTGTTAAATAGGTCTATCCTAAACAAAGGAATGTGTGTCTACTTCAATTTACATATAAGTAATAAACAGGGTCCTCCAGAAAACATGGGGAGGAGATGGCAGGAGACAAAGCAAATTTGCATTTCAGCAAAGACAGGTGAAGAGAAAGCATAAAGCCTCCTTCATCACCAGACTGCCTGTTACCTTCTTTACCGCTTGAATAAACTTTACTTTGATGGGTAACCTTCAAAAGAATCCACTTCAAAGGTTCAGTGGACTATAAAAGAGGGGGCAGAGAATCTCAAGTTATGTCTCTTACCTTTGGGGTACTACGAGAGATCCTGACCCAGGAAAGGGATAGTCACCATCTTGCTGGAAGACTGTAGGTGAGAAAAGCTATCTTAAACAAACCCTGATCCAAAACCTGCTAGATTGTTTATTTGACTTTTAGATGCATATTTTCACTTTTATTTGCTGGTAACCATTTCTAACTTTATCTCTTATACTTGAATTCACTTAAAATCCTATCTTCTTTTTTAATAAACATGTTTCATATTTTTTAATATAAACCAATCCAGTGCTGTGTTTAAACTGAACTGTTTGGTAATTCCAGTTAAAGTGGCAGACTGTTGACTATCAACTCTTTACAGGAGCAACAGTTCTTAATACCTAAACTGTCCAAGAGAGTAGTATACGGTGCAGAAGACACGTTTTTGGGTAAATTCAGGACTGTGTGTGTGTTGGGGTCACCCTGCAAGTAGTAACCAAGGCTGCTAGAAGCCAGAGTATGACTGGTTTGTTGCTGACAGGCTGCTGGACCGGAGCTGTAGCTATGCTCAGACACTCAAGGTGTGACCTGCATGCTGGCAGGCAGTTTGTGAGCAGCCCAGGTTGGGAGCTACAAGAGCAAAGCATTGTGAGGCACCCAAGATTTCAGGGCAGGTGGTGATGCAACTCTTCATTGGTCTGGATTGCACCCCAGAATGTGACTGAGCCTTCTTCCTGGGAGCCCTGAAAATTGAAGATACTATTCTGGAGACTTGTCTACTTAACTAGCTTCATCAAACAAGGCCCTGCTGTAATGTGAGAACGTACAATTAGACTCTTTTTGCATAGTGTTTCCTTATTCAGAATGGTCATTTTCTTTTTGAGCTAACATGCCATGTCCTCACTAGTCACAAATCTGTCAGCAAAAATCCTGAGCAGTTAACTGTGAATTGCTGAATAAGCTATTTGTACAGCTGAGTAGATCTTTCAACCTGTTACCATTTTGCAGCTCATTATTTAATACTTGCACTGTATGTGGGTTGATGTGTGTGAGTCTCATTTGAGTTCCAGTTTATCCAAGTCACTTATTCATACTTCCTCCCACCTTGCCCTTGCAGTAGTCTGTGTCTGTCGTTCCAGTATTTTCATCACCCCTCCCTTTAGAGCCAGGGGTGTACAAAACCAAAACATATCAAATTTTATATATGCAGCAAGCCTAGACAAGGGAGCAGAGTGGGCTCCAGCTGAAGCTGGAAATCCAAGCATTAAGGCTGTGCATGATTCCACTGAGAGACATAGGGCAGTAGTGAGTTGCCTGAGAGAGAATTTCTGAAAACTATCATAGAACTGCACAAAACCTAAAGCCAAGGCAATCAAAAGAGAAGAGCGAATATTTAATGGAATGAAATGGCTTTATATTGATTTAAATAGCACTGTCACTCTAGAGCCACTGATCAGTGTGTATTTTGTAAAAAATTAGAACACAGGATGCAAACAGAGTTACTGAAGTACTTCATGGAAAAGCAGGACACCTTGTGCAAAGAACTGGAGGTAATTTTTTTTTATTTTTTTTTAGATTTAAAAAAACAAACCCCAACTTGAGTAAATGGTGTACCCACAGCAAAGATCCTTCAGTACTAGAGCTGCATCATTAGCTATATTTATTATTTGTATTGAAGTAATGCCTGACGGGGGTTCTGTATTCCCAGGCACTGTACATTTACAGTAATGGAAAGATGCTCTGGGGACCATAGAGCTAGCAATATATTCCAGCAGCCTGATATCATACCAGCTTAAAAACCGTGCTAGTAATTTTCTGATGTCATGTGGGGAATTTTGGGAGTAACTATGAGACTCTCCATAGTTGCAAAAGAGATACTGTTGCTTGCCTAAAAGGGGGACTAACTTGAACTGATGGGTTTTAGCACCTTGTTCTAGATCATCGTAAATTGTAGTCAACAGGGGCCTTGGGCTTTAACTCTCAGGGTATGTCTACACTACGAGAGTAGTTCGATTTTAGTTAAATCGAATATGTGCAATCGATATTAGAAAGTCGAACGTATGTGTCTACACTAAGGACAGTAATTCGACTTTGTCAGTCCACACTACCAGGGAAAGCGTCGACATTGGAAGCAGTGCACTGTGGGCAGCTATCCCACAGTTCCCGCAGTCCCCGCCGCCCATTGGAATTCTGGGTCGATCCTCCAATGCCTTCTGGGTAAAAAAATGTGGCGAGGGTGCTTTTGGGTAACTGTTGTCATCCGTCAGTCACTACCGCCCTCCCTCCCTCCCTCCCTCCCTGAAAGCGCCGGCGGGAAATCAGTTCGCGCACTTTTTGATCAGTGACAGCGCGGACGCCACAGCACTGCGATCATGGATCCCGCTGCGACCATCGCTGCAGTTGTGGCCGTTCTCAACACCTCGCAGCTTATCATACACCTTTCCCTGAGGCAGATGCAGAGAAATCAGGCGAGGAGGCTACGGCACCGGCGTGAGGGCCTGAAGTCGGAGAGTAGCACAGAACTGTCAGAAACCACGAGCCCCAGCGCCCAGGACATCACTGTGGCAATGGGGCATGTGGATTTTGTTGAACGGCGATTCTGGGCCCGGGAAACAAGTACGGACTGGTGGGACCGCATAGTGCTTCAGGTCTGGGATGAATCCCAGTGGCTGCGAAACTTTCGCATGCGGAAGGGCACTTTCCTGGAACTTTGTGACTTGCTGTCCCCTGCCCTGAAGCGCAAGGACACCCGCATGCGAGCAGCCCTGACTGTCCAGAAGCGAGTGGCCATAGCCCTCTGGAAGCTTGCAACGCCGGACAGCTACCGGTCAGTCGCGAACCACTTTGGCGTGGGCAAATCTACCGTGGGGGTTGTTGTCCTGCAAGTAGCCAAGGCAATCGTCAAGGTACTGCTGTCAAAGGTAGTGACCCTGGGAAACGCGCAGGCCATCATAGATGGCTTCGCTGCGATGGGATTCCCAAACTGCGGTGGGGCTATAGATGGGACTCACATCCCTATCCTGGGACCGGGCCACCAGGCCAGCCAGTACATCAATAGAAAGGGCTACTTTTCAATGGTGCTGCAAGCACTGGTGGACCATCGGGGACGGTTTACAAACATCTACGTCGGATGGCCGGGCAAGGTTCATGACGCTCGCGTGTTCAGGAACTCTGGTCTGTTTAGACGGCTGCAGGAAGGCATTTACTTCCCGGACCACAAGATAACTGTTGGGGATGTGGAGATGCCTACAGTGATCCTCGGGGACCCAGCCTACCCGCTAATGCCCTGGCTCATGAAGCCCTATACTGGCGTCCTGGACACTGAAAAAGAACTCTTCAACTACCGCCTGAGCAAGTGCAGAATGGTGGTGGAGTGTGCTTTTGGCCGTCTCAAGGGGAGATGGAGAAGCTTACTGACTCGCTGTGATCTCAGCGAAACCAATATCCCCATCGTTATTGCAGCTTGCTGTGTGCTCCACAATCTCTGTGAGAGCAAGGGGGAGACCTTTATGTCGGGGTGGGAGGTTGAGGCAAATAGCCTGGCTGCTGATTACGCCCAGCCAGACAGCCGGGCGATTAGAAGAGCCCAGCGGGACGCGCTGTGCATCCGGGAGGCTTTGAAAGCCAGTTTCAAGGCTGAGCAGGGTACCCAGTGACTTTTAAGTTTGTGGACACAGAAGCTGAACTTGCCCCCGTTTCTTTACCCAGTTGCCGTCGACTATCCTCTCCAGTTACATACCCCCTTCACCCCCTTCCCAAAAAATAAAATCTGTTCTGTTTTGTTAATGGACACCGTTGTCTTTATTACTGTTTTCGCGGGAATGTTTTAAACCTGGGACGCAGACTGTGGCGGGGGGCGGGTTTAGTGTTGTGATGCAAATGATGCTTCTAAACTCCAGGAATGACAGGCTCCGCGGTGGTGGACTGGTTGTTTCAACGGAGCCTGCCAGCCCTCCTGGCCGGGACTGCGTGTATGTGTCGGCTATGTGACTGTCTTGCAGGGGGAGGAGGGTTACAGATCCCCTGCTGCGCGGCTCTGTGATCCAGGGTAAGGACCGCTGCATAAGATCTGTAACTGCCCTCCCCCGCCACCAAGTCACAGAGCAACACCCCCCCCCCCACCACACAGAACATGAAAACCACCTCCCAGACTGACCAGGATAACTAGTCACTGCACTGTATATGTGCCCTGCTGCTGGACCTGCCCCCTGCTAAAGGTGACTGTCCTGTCCAATTACCAAGCCCCTTCCCCCCACTTCAGACAGACTCTCATCTAAAAGAAGAGGATGGAAACAATAATGAACAAAAACGTATTTTTTATTAACAACCGCACATGGAACGGGGGGGGTGAAACTTGGACAGGGTCTTGTGTGAGGCGGGTAGGAAAGGACTTTACAAATTTTGGGGAATGAGAGCCTTCTAGTGGTAGAGCAGTCCGCAGGGGTGGAGTGAAATTTTTCACGGCCCCTTCCGCCCCTCCGTGTTTGGACTTTGGGTGAGGGGGGTATGGGACTTGGTGGCGGGGCGGGGCAGTTAGAGAGAGACTGCAGCGGGGCTCTCTCCTCCTGCCTCCGGTCCTGCAGAACATCCACAAGGCGGCGGAGCGTGTCCGTTTGCTCCCTCATTAGTCCAAGCAGCGTTTGAGTAGCCTGCCTGTCCTCCTGTCGCCACCTCTTCTCCCGTTCCATGTTTGCCCGGTGCATTTGGGACAAGTTCTCCCTCCACTGTGTCTGCTGGGCTGCCTGTGCTCGGGAGCATGCCATTAGTTCAGCAAACATGTCTTCCCGTGTCCTCTTCTTCCTCCTCCTAATGTGCGCTAGCCTCTGGGCAGATGTGGCTGTGGGAATTGGAAAAAGGGAGTGAATTCCTGAGACAGATCAATGTATCTGTGAACAGAGAACATAGTCTTTCTCTGTGAACAAGACCATGCAGAGCACCTATCACACGCGCACTGAGGACAAGGTCGAATTTTCGGCCCTCGCCTACCGTGCCTGCGGTCTTGCTGTGGCGAGCTGAGGAGCAGGGCAGGACACCGGACTTTGTCTAGATGGCAAACATGGTAAGCCGTAGACTTGTGGCCGCTTAAAACTTTAAGAGTGGCACTGGCCTCCTTTCGCATAGAAAGCAATGCGAGTCTCTGCTGGCAGCAATCCTGCAAGCATGAACTCTGGCCCTGTCCCACCCCCTCGCGGCTGTAAACCGCGTGGCTGTAAACCGGCGGTTGCAGTTCTGTACAGGGACGGGCAAGCAGTCCCAATACTAACTTTCCCCTACCTAATTCACAGCAGGGAGTCATGCCAGACATCACCCTCCTGAAGGTCTCTGCGAGCCAGAAGGAGCGGATGCTTCGTGACAGCCTGCAGAAACCGGGGCCATTTGCTGCAATGCTCTGCAAGACCATGATCCCCGAGTACCTGCTGGCGTTGTGGCAGGGAAACGTCTCATACCACGGGGGGCCTAACAAGCTCTCCCTGCCCAGGAACCTGCTCATGAGGCTTGAAAAACACCTGCAGGAGACCTATGAGGAGTTCTCCCCGGAGGATGTCGCCTCTATCCCCGGATACATTGACCAGTTTTTGGGTTAGGTGCCCTTGGAGGGACAGAAGAGTGCAGCGTTTTGGGCATTATAATCATGAAGCGGACATTGTGAAATTTTTTGAAAATAGACTATATATTGAAGCGCCCAAAGACAGACTAATCATGATACACTTTGCACAGATTCCCGTTTTGTTGGACTTTCCTGTTTACATGTTTTGAAGCACTTTACCCACTGTTAATATTTTAAATCTTCCTGTTTTGTTGTAAATAAATGTTTACATGTTTTAAAGCACTTTACCTATTGTTAATATTTGAAATATGCCAGTTATGTTATAAATAAATGTTTAGATATTTAAAACACTTACTGCTTGATCCTTCCCCTGAATCTGTGTCTGGGATAACGGCTGGGGAGGATTGGTAGGGGATCTCTGTGAGGGTGATGAAGAGCTCCTGGCTGTCGGGCAAATCAGCGCTGTCGACTGCCTCGTCCTCCTCATCTCCTTCCTCCTCTTCCCCGTCCGCTGAGGAACCGGCCGCGGACAATATCCCATCCTCAGAGTCCACAGTCAGGGGTGGGGTAGTGGTGGCGGCCGCACCTAGGATGGAATGCAGTGCCTCGTAGAAACGGGATGTGTGGGGCTGGGATCCGGAGCGTCCGTTTGCCTCTTTGGTCTTCTGGTAGCCTTGTCTCAGCTCCTTGATTTTCACGCGGCACTGCGTTGCATCCCGGCTGTATCCTCTCTCTGCCATGGCTTTAGAGATCTTCTCATAGGTCTTTGCATTCCGTCTTTTGGAGCGCAGCTCGGAAAGCACGGTCTCATCTCCCCACACAGCGATGAGATCCAAGACTTCCCGATCAGTCCATGCTGGGCCCTCTTTCTAGTCTGAGATTGCACGGCCATCTCTGCTGGAGAGCTCTGCATCGTTGCCACTGCTGCTGAGCTCGCCACGGTGTCAAAACAGAAACTGCGCTTCAAACTGCCCAGACAGGAAAAGGAATTCAAATTTTCCCGGGGTGTGGCTGGTCAGAGCATCCGAGCTCGGACTGCTGTCCAGAGCGTCAACAGAGTGGTGCACTGGGGGATAGCTCCCGGAGCTATTAGCGTCGAATTCCATCCACACCTAGCCTAATTCGACATGGCCATGTCGAATTTAGCGCTACTCCTCTCGTTGGGGAGGATTACAGAAATCGATTTAAAGAGAGCTCTATGTCGAACTAAATAGCTTCGTGGTGTGGACGGGTGCAGGGTTAATTCGATATAACGGCGCTAAATTCGACATAAAAGCCTAGTGTAGACCAGGCCTCAGAATTCAGACATTTTCACAAAATGTATCTTCAATACACACTTTTGCTATGCTGAGCCATGTGAAAGTCCCTTGCCTATGTATTATTGCTTTCTTTCTTCCCCAGAGCAGATGAGTTAATTTTTAAGAAACTTTGCCTATTTGTGTATTCCAGTTGGATGTTCTTTCCAAATTCTAACATTTAAATACTAGTATTAAGAAAAGAGATTAAAATATTGCTAAATTAAGTCTTTTCCAGTCTGAATATGAGGCTATATAACAATTGAAGTATAATATACCTTTCAAAAGATTAGATTAAATTGATTCTATACATTTTTCTCATTGAGATTTTAGCAGTAAAATATAATTCAATACTATAATGACTTGAAAATTACTTACAAATATAATTTAAGTTTTTACATTTATACCCAGTTCTCTCAAGGATTTTTTTTATTGCCAGCTCAAAATTGATGTTTTGTAGTAAGCAATTGTAATTTTTAATTCCACTTCAGGAACCCCTATGAACATTGAATATTATCTATCTCCATATCAAGTTCTGGAAGAAGAGCTGAATCCTGGTAAAAATGGATAAACAGTAAAAATTAAAATAGTGTTAGCTTATTTTTTGAACTGGAATTTAGTTTTTACAATTGTAGTCTGAAAAGAATCCAGTGTACTTAAAGGGTGAACTCACATGGTGCAGTAACTATCTTTCTACAATACGAGTTTCCTTTCGAGCAGAAGATCGCTAAATGGAATTGGAAACAATTTAAGGTTTCACTACATCCAAGTTCATATGCAAGATGGTTCCTTGGAACAACTAGAATGACATTTCTGTATCCTTTGGTTCTTCATGATTGGCACTAAGGTGGGAACAAATTAATTTGTAAACTGCTTGTTTAGCAGAGTCCAGAAAGATGCATGCAATTTGTGGCAAACAAAGCCCTGTGATGCACTTATTTAGTGCAGGGACATGATTGTTCAGGAAACTGGAGACTTTGCCACTTCTAGGTTGCTGGTACTAATTAAGACCTGCATGGTAGCAACCAAAAGTCATTCAGTGACCTGTATGAAATGAACTGGTGATCCTTTGGTTCTTAATGAAGACATGCTCATGTCACAAAAGAGCGTCAGCTATAATGGTCAACTGGCATCATTGGCAATCTGGGTTAAGGCAATCTTTGGCTAGGTGATGGAGATCTTGCATTGTAGCTGTCTAGGTTGTGCCTGCACTATAGATGACTGGAAGACATCAGGCCTTCTAGTCTGGCACCTTTCACCAGCAGTATGTTCATCTATATTTTCATAAGGGAAAAAAATGCACTGACTCATACCTGTCTTCTTTCTTCCCTCAGGCTCCCAAGTATGTGGAACAAAAGTATTTGTAACGGTTGGAAGTTCAAACACAACACACAAACTTCCCATTTCTCCGTTAATTGTGGATTCTCAGGCAGGAGATGGGTGAGATTCAAAGGCACTATTGACATTTCTGAACATATAAATGGATTTTCAAATCAAATGACATTGACATCATTTGTATTGATCCTATAACAGAGATGCAAACCCACTGCTAGACAAGAGCAACACTACTGTATTGATGGCATTATCCCTCTTGGGAATACTCTGCATAATCAGATGACTGTTTTCCCAAAAGAGTTTAAAATTATATCCAAGTTCATATTAACTGTATGAATTCCATGGGATCATAAATCTTAAGATCAGAAAGGACCAATGAGATGATTGTCTGACCTCCTGTACAACATAGACCATAGAACTTCATCCAGTAATTCCTGCATCAAGCTCCTAACTTTAAATATCAATTAAGTGTATTGTAATTAAATTGTGTAACATTTTAAACTGTTTGCATGACCACTCCTAGGACAGCATCATTTAATCTGACTGTCTGAACAGGTAATACAAGGGGTAGGCTTGAGGGGAAACTCCCCTCTTACCCCCACTGAAAATGAACCACAGTGCACTGATTTATAGCTAGAATCCTGCCTGTTTTTGTGGCCCACCTTCCTTCTCTATCAGTCTTCATATAGACTTTGCTTTATGACATCTAGTCTATACTTGCATTTTCCAGAGGGAGATTTTTCTTGAGGTGGGAAGAGAATCATCTATACCATATGTGTGTCTTCATTTTACCCTGGGCACTAAGAATCCTTGTCACACCAGTGTCTTCTTTAACAAGCTTGCCTTTCTACCCGTTTTTCCTCAGCAACCCTGCTTTTTTACCACTTACTGATGAACTCAGCATGGATTTGTCAGCTTGCTTTTTCTTGATGTTTCATCAGCCTTTTCCTATGTCCTCATCCAGTATTCAAGAGATACAGAAGCTTACAGGCATGTTTAATTATCTGTTAGATTAAATATTTTTGAGTATTCTACATAGCTTGTTTCCTTTTTACCTCCCTCATGCTAATTTTGCAGGAGATGTGTCCAGATTTTCTACCTTCTCTGTGAAAGAAAATCCTCTGATTAGTATTCCTATCAGCTCAGATGTGATTAGCACATTATTAATGTGCTATCATGTAAATGTGACCTGACATTGGAAAATAATATGCAGAGGACCAAGAATAGAAATGACGATATAAGGAGAAAGGATAGCCTTGTGAGTAAGGCACTGGACTGGGACATCAGGATTTAATATGAAGCTATGATAGACTTCCTGTGTGATCCTGGTCAAGTTTCTGTGTATCAATTCCCAATCTGTAAAATTGGGGTAAACACTTCCCTATCTTCTTTATGATGACTGTTTGTTTGTAAAAATGGAATGAACATTTTCCATGTCTCATGAATAACTACAAATCAATCCAGAAATACTAATCTAAAAATTACCTGGCTTTAGGAATTTCAATTGATGGACTGAAGTTAGCTTCTCTTCATGCACTGATTGTTCAATTTACCTTTAATGATGAGTACAAGGAAGATTTGGCCATGAATAATTCTTGTTTCTTTGTGGTATGTATGTTCTGACTTTTGATACATGCATGTCATTTTGTTCTTATTCTTTGTCTGCATTTATGTGGTGAAGTAAACACTTTTTGTATGTCAGTAAGCAATGCCAATAGTCAGGAATCCTGACATAATTGAATGCCCATCAGGGAGTATATTATTCCAATTTTTTTTTAACTCTGTCAACCCCCTTACTTTTAAATAATTTAAGGCAATTTGACACCTTTATAAAGGTGATAAAGGAGACATTATTTTGTGTGTAGTAACTGGAGTCATATCAATTGTATGTGGTGATCGTGTGTTTAAAGCATTTAGCCTAAGTAAATTTGTCTACCACTTTCCCTCTAATTCCTTCAAAAGCAGAATTTGTTAGTGACTAGTCTCAAATCTGAGATTCTCCAGTATATCCAAGATGCTTCCCAGGTAGATTTTCAGTTTTAAAATCTTTAGCATAGATCATGTCACTCCATTTTAAATCTGATTAAAAATGGAATTCCCTACTGCATAACAGTAAGAGTAGTGAATTTACTATTTGTTATAGTCTTTATTACAATGAGTGGCAGAAAGAATGTAAAAAATTAGTCACTCCTTTAGTTAATCAGATTATACATAAATTTAACTGATTTCTTTTTGAAATGTTTTTTGTGTTTTTTGTTTTGTGGTACATAGTGATTAAAAACAATAGTTTCATAGTTAGTATTATGATCGCTCCTAGACTGAGGCTATTTTGCATATTTAGAAATTACTTGAAAATAACCTTAAATATAAATTTTAAAGACTGCCGAGATTTAGTACTGGTGTAAGATGTTGGCAGGACAGCCCTGGTGGGTGAAAGCCACTGTTTATCTACAAAGCAGTGGCAGGGCAAATTTCCCACATCATCTGCTTTGCTAGCATTCCTTAATTCTGAAAGGGGGAGGGGGGCAGTTGGAGAAGAGGGCACTTCCTCTACAGATAACAGGGATAACTACATGGCCTATGTAGTTCTTGGTCTCTGCAGTGTGGCTGTTTTGCAGGGCAATGGTGGGTGAGTTTTTATAATGTGATAGCTGCAACAGAGACCCACCAAAGTCCTCCTCTTTAGAGGCCACTATATATCCATTAGATGGAAATAACTTTAATCTCTACAGAGCTGTGCTGGATATGGGTGAGAGACTCTGTAGCTTATTAGCAATGCCCTAAGGCATCCAGTTTCCTACCAAGTGCTAATGTTACACGTTCAAGAACGAAGACTTTCTTTCTGGAAAAATCAGCTTATTAAATTAATTGCTGACCTTTTTGAAGATTTAAACAGGGAGGGTCTCTCCCCCTCCACCCTCCCCCCCCTTTCTGGACACACAGGTAAAATTCTACACCCGACCCTGCCCAATTGCTCCTTAATATGCACTCAGTTAAGTGCCCTGCTCTGCTCTTAAAGCAACAGCTCCCATTTGACCAAGGCAGAACCAGTAAGGTTATGTCTAGACAGCAAATGAAGGTGTGATTGTAGTGTGTCCAGGGTCTCCAGAGGGCTTGTGCTAAGGTGGGCTAAGCTGCCACATCTTCACTACCACTGTTACCTATGCTAGTGTGGATTTTCCTATGCTTGCCACAATCATACCCTCACTTGCTGCACAAATATATTCTAAAATTACATTAAAACAAATATCACATCTAAATATAAATAAAATTGCTTCAGCAATTATTCCAGAGTCCTTGCACTAAAAAGATTAGATCACCCTTTTCCCCTCAAATGAGTCGCTAGGTGGGTTTGAACCCACACCCTTTGTAGCTGCCCATAAACCTCTTCTAATTTAGCTGTAGGAGCAATCAATGGCAGAAACAAGTTATTTGGTAGTTGGACCACCCCTAGATGGTCCATGCAATACATGCTCTGCCAGTTGGTTACACAACTATTTGTGAGACTGTGGAACACTGGGGTGACCGGGGTCCTAGTGGGGACCAGCTGTGATCAGTCAATTAGGGTGAACTGCAAAGAATGGGGGAGACAATCCCCATAAAGCTGGTGGATATTCCAATACTTAGATTTACCAAGCCAGCATAAAACAGCTTCTTTATTACCTTCCTGGTTACTCAGAAGTCCAAACAACACAGTTCCCTTAAAGTGATCCAGCCTCAGGCCTCCCTCCAGGTACCCACATCAAATGTGATGAAAATTTCTGTAAATCTTATTTCATCATATAAAAGAAAAGGTTCTACCAATCCCAAAGGATCAGACACATTACCTCCCAGGTTATTGAATATTCCAGATCTTATCCAAATACACACTACAGCCAATTCTTATTAACTAAACTTTATTTAAAAAAAAAAGAGAGAGAGTATGGTTAAAGGATCAATATACATACAGACATGAGTTCAATTTATTTAGGTGCAGATTCATAGCAGAGATGGTGAGCTTTGTAGTTGCATAGAGTTCTTTTAGAAATAGTTCATAGGTTATAGTCCAATGTCCAAATATCATATTCACGGTGTACTAGCATAACTGGGACTTTAGTCTTTTGACTCCAACTTCTCCTGATGAAGCCTAAGCAGATCTGAGATGACAGAATCAGGATCCAAAGATCTTTTATACAATTTCATGTCTTTTGACAAGTTGGAGTTCAAAAGGTAATTAGCATGACTTTGAAGGAGGTCCCTCACCGGTACTTGGCTATAGAATTAACATAAGGCAATTTGCTTTTTCTTCCACCATTCACAGATTATTTGCTATACACTTTAAAGAGGGATGACTACAGAGATATCCCGTGTTTACAATTCATTTAAATGCTAGGATTTTCTTTTGATCTCTGAAGTATCAGAATATAGCATAGACCGGGACTGTTGATTACATGGTCTGCCCTACTCATACATATGTAAATACACAAAAACACAAACATTATCTCCCCACATGTCTTTTGGGGGTTATTTATTTTGCAGGATGTTTAACCCTTTCTAGCCATGCATCACAACTGGTTATCAGGATTCCTGACTCTGGGAAAAGTGTGGTGAAGAGATAGCACAGCTAAGCACATTCCTTCTGAGAGGCAGTATGGGAAAGTGAATGAGATTAGGGTCTGTCAGGTGAGAGCACTCTGTTCACGGCTTGGCCTGAAATATCCTCTCTTTCTGTTGTTTTACCTGTATAATGACTGAATGATACTAACGTCTCCTAAATTAAAGGTAAAAGGCTGTTAATTTCGCTATGACCTTCACCGCCCTTATTAACAGTCCTCACAAGAACAACTGAGACTGGGGCCTTGGCTACACTTGTGAGTTACAGCGCAATAAAGCCTCCCAGAGCGCTGTACCTCATTCTCTGTCCGCACTGGCAAGGCAAGTACAGCGCTGTATCTCCATGGCTTCAGCACTGCTGGTACTCCACCTCCCCGAGAGGAGTAAGTTTGCTGCGCCTTGGCTACAACTCCCGGGTGTCAGTGTGAACGAGGAGTTAACTTACTGTGCTGTGATAATCCCCCTATCAAGTGGCCACTCTTCTCATTGTTGTGATCAGCTGCAGGAATGCGGAAGTGCCGTTTCAGAGAGAAAAAGCAAACATTTTGCTGTTTGCTGTGAGTGAGTGAGAAGCAGGAGGGTCTGAACTTACAAGACAGAGTGCTGACACACTCTCAGCACTCCAAAAACCCACTCTCTCTCCCCCCACTCCCTGTCACACTCCACCCCCCCCTTTTGAAAAGCACGTTGCAGCCACTTGAATGCTGGGATAGCTGCCCATAATGCACCACTCCCAATGCAGCTGCAAATGTGGCCATGACAGTGCGCTGTCAGCTGTCAGTGTGGACAGACTGCAGCACTTTCCCTACTCAGCTGTACGAAGGTGGGTTTAACTCACAGCGCTGTACAGCTGCAAGTGTAGCCATACCCTAGAACTCACGGTCTTTTGGCATGAAGCTCAGTGCAGATTATCCTGTGTTAAAAGGTATTTTTGCAGGAGAGGGGCTTGGTCTCAGTTGACTCAGTTTCTGAGTGATATTTTCATTGAGGTGTGGCCAGGGATTTCAGACTTGACAGATGTGTGCCCCACAAAAGACTTTTTTGGTACCAGATCCATTGTAACATTTTAGTATCAGGACTAGCCATCTTGCCTTTCCAAGTTTCCATTCCTCACAAAAATAAGTATTTCTTCATCAGTCTCTTCCAGATTGCCCGAAGCACAGTTATTTCATAAATAAGGGCACAGAGAAATCAGGTATAACAGGAGCCCTCGTCAGTAAAATTCCATTTACCCATCCAAAGTGTGTACCTGCTATAATTGAGATTCTTCGGCATCAAGTGGCATATAACACTCTTATTGGCAGCTGTCTCTCTGAGAACACTATAAATGAAGGTAAATTGTATGTTATGAAGTTGTGTGTTTCTCTGTAATAGTCTGCTGATTTGTTTTGTATTTGTAAGTTGGATGTCCCCACCACAGCAGGTGCATTCTCCAAATCCACTGCTATTTACAAATTGTTTGAAATGACTAAATTCTTATCAGCATCCTTAGTTTTTGTGTAGGGCTCTCTGTAGGTTAAATATTTCAAGTAGCACACCTATGTCTGACCCAATATTTAGTTTCCAGAGGCAAACTGAACTGCAGAGTGACAATAATTAGATTCTGAGTTGCCAGCGTTTTGAATGGCTAGTGTATAATTCACTTAAATGGGGTTAAGTTTAAATAAACTAAGTTATTAAATGAAGTTACTGCTTTACAGATTGCTCAGAGCTGCTTTATTTTGAAGTGTCTCCACAAAAGGGCACTAGCTTTTCCATCTCATTCCAGCATCCTATGGGGGAGAGTTTAGCCTGTGGTAAGTGTGGAATATTCAACACTGCTGCTTTTGTGTGTGTGTGTGTGTGTGTGTGTGTGTGTGTGTGTGTGTGTCACGTTTACAAATATCTTTGTTCTATCAGGACATGGGTTTCAATTGTACTGTGAATCTCAATCTTCCTAAACTTTACTCTTCTGCGTGTTTATGTATATAAATAAACAGGAAATGCTTTGTTAAGGTTGCCCAGTTCAAAACAAAGTCAGGGAATGTAGAAGAATTAAGGCCCTGGTTCTGCAATGCATTGAACACGGGTATACTGAGACTGCCATACGCCCATAGAGCCCCACTGAAATCAGTGGGATGGGGCCTTATAGTTCCTACAGCAATAGTAATTGAGCTATATAAGCACATTTTGTTTATTATGGTAAATATAACCATTAATATTTAATGTTACATGTCTTAATTTCCATACTTGGATCAAAGGGAAATATTCAGGGGTTATAAATAATATTGCTAGACCTTTGTAAACACACACAATTTTGAAATGTCCATATTTTTTCCTATTCAGTGGTAGCTGATGTCTTGAGCGCCAGACAAATCAGATGCAGTCTTCATACAAATCCTCAAGATGTAACTCTAAATTGCTGCAATGACTTTATCACAAGAGTCATGGAGCGGTAAGTGTTCTACTCTAAAATGTTTGGGACACATATAAATTGTCTATTAATGGTAATTTTTATGCATATTCAGAAATAGTAAAAACTACCATCCCTATGATCAAATGAACTTGTTTATTAAAAAGTGATGGAACAAAAGATTGTCTTTAGTAAATGCAAAGTATATTTTAGTTCTCAAAAAAAGGTGTCACTTTTCTTTGCATATCATATTTATTCATTTACCCAATTTGAATTAGTGATATGTTTATTTACACTAGCACTTCTTGTGTCTGCAACTAAGACTTCTTTACAGTAGGAAGTGAGAAAACATTTTGAAAGTTAGACATTTCTTTTTATCCTCTTAAATGGGGCCCAGTGCTCAGCTGGAAATGCATCTGTTTAGTCACACAACTGGTACAGCAGAAGTAGCTGCAGTGCAAGTTTTCCCATGCTGTCTTAGCATCATGTGCCTCCTGTGTTCTAGAGGGCACCACCTCCGGGGAGTGAGCAGTTCATTTTCCATGTCTATTCAATTCTTCCCATCTCTACTGAGATGAGGATGTTATGCTCATACAAAGCACATCTAATGGCCAGTTAGATTGAGCACGAGTGTGGAGCTGGGTTTTGTCGGTCGCAATCCGAGACTTTGCAGGACTGAACCCAGAGTTCCATGGCAAAACACCCCAGCTTTATAGTTGTAAATTCCCATTTGAGTCCATGCATTTTGCAATGTCATCCTGTAATCATTAGTCCTTAAGTGGTGTTATCATTTGATGGTTATTGTCGGGCTTCCCATCGTTATCTCTTATTTGTTGTCTCGCCTTCGGGGGTGCCTGCCTCACCTCTGAGGTCGTCAATGTTGCTAACATCGGATACAATGGATGTTTTCTGACTGTCTCCTGGTCTTTCCATGTCTCTCAGTCTCTTACTTCTTCTTGACCATCTGGACATTTGTGATGGCTTTCACACCTTATCTTTTCCTGATTCACAGAAACCTTTAAAGGTATACGTACAGCAGTATTGTATATTCAGTAGAATACATTGTAAATCAAGCCTTGCTAAATCTTATAACTAAAACAATTCACATTGGGGTTTCAGGCCCTCAACATTCCTCTAATCTTCTTAACATAGATACAATAGAGAATCCTGTCTCTTACTTCCTAATTTGTAATACATATAGGAAACCATAGTAGCTTTATAACTTATTTTAAAACAAAAGGGTGACCATAAGGATTGTTCTGGTCTGTCATTCCTTTCTGCTATTCAAAAGGGGTGGCTGACAGGATGAAATCAAATCATACATTAATTCTCATAGTACATTATAAAATCCAGCTCCTACAAGGGGTCCAAACTGTGTGGGGCTGCTGTGGAATGAACATGGATACACTAAGTGGACTGAGACCACTAATTCACTTCATCCAGGTCAATAAACAGTTGTCCAATTGGCAGTAAGTTGGATGTAGGCTGGACTTGAACCATGAATTTAAGCAACAAGATATGGGAAAACTGCTGCTGCAGCTAGAGCATTGTACATTTGAGCTCCCGCTATTGCTAATTCTGCTTCAGCTGAACCAGTACCATAGGCGCCGACTTCTGCTGGCGCCAGTGGGTGCTCGACCCCCCCCCCCCCCGCCCTTGCCCCTGCCCCCATTCCAACCCCTTCCCCAAATCATCGCCCCCGCCTCCTCCCCTGAGCGTGCCGTATTTCTGCTCCGCCCCCCCTCCCTCCCAGAGCTTGTTATGCCACGAAACAGCTGTTTTGCAGTGGCAAGCGCTGGGAGGAGAAGCAGGAATGTGGCGTGCTCAGGGGAGGAGGCGGAGGTGAGCTGAGCTGGGGCGGGAAGCTTGGCTGCTGCACCCACCAATTTTTCCCCTGGGTGCTGCAGCCCCGAAGCACCCACGGAGTCGGCACCTATGAGTGGTACAGACAGTAGAAACCCCCTTTTTTTGTAAAAAGGCCCTACTGTGGATAATAAGTCAGGACTGAGGTGCTGTATGAAGTTTTAAAAGAATACATCGCATGAGAATTATCTAAAAACTATAGTTTTCTAATTGTAAGGTGAATGCTGTCAACTTAAGCTCTCATTAAAAGTAAAACCCTAAAACCCAAACTTGGAACTAGCTAAGGGGATATCCTAAGATATTTTTTTTTTTTTTTTTTTTTAACCAAGATTTTCATGCAGTCCTCTGGATATCTAAGAATATGAGAAGCCATATTAGCTAACTGAAGAGTTACACACACCAAGATAACTTCTGATTCAATAATCCATATTTTCCCACAGAAAAGATGGATCACTTCAGCAAGCTAGTCTGCTTTTTTTACAATGGCTGAGACTGAGTGGTTAACGTTCTCAACTCCTTCTTTTCCCCCCTCAGTTGTATGTCTGTCCCTCTTGTCATGAGAGCTATTTTCAAGAATGCTGTCACAATGAAAGTTGATGGTGAAATACAAAATATGGAAGTTATCTCTGAGCAAAATCCTGAAGTGACCTGCAAGCAAACGACGTCTTCTAACAGTACCGGAGCAAATATTTCTGGAGCCAGCATGCAAAATTCATGTGATGGCATGGAGGCAAGCAGCTCCACGGCCAGTATTGAGTGTGCGATTTGTGATATATCAGTATAACTAAAGCAAATACTCATCTGATGTTTACTGTGGTTCCATGTCACTTTTTTTGTAGTGTGATCAATAGACATTGTTTCAAGAAACAGTAGAGGAGAACTTGGCAAGATCAATACTTCTGTCTAGCAGGATTTCCTCTTAGAATTAAATCTTTTCAACCCTGCATATTGCTAAATTAAAAAAAAAAACTTTTTTTTGAGAATATAAACGCAAATTTGAAAAGTCAAATTATCACTACTGTAGCAACCTTAATTTAACCCATAATGCATATATGGGCATGTAGTTATTTAGGTGGTGGTTGTTTGTTAAATATTTGTAGGTGTACATATAATACAACATGCAATGTGGCCAAGTTATATTGCGGTAACCTTAAGATTTTGTTTTCTTTCTTTGTGCGGTTCCATTTATTAAACCATAATGTTGCATTAACATTTTTTTAACATGTAATTGAAAAATTTGTAAGAAAGGTGGAAGGGGAAAGGAACTATTGTTTGAAACTGTCTGCTAGTAAGCTATTTTGTGCACAAATGCAATTTGATGCAAATGAGTTTTGACTTATTTATTTGTACCAGTCCCCATGGAACTGTGTAGTAAATTAAAAGCTTTCCCCCCTCCTGTATTGGTTTAATGTCCTCTTTTTGCAAAAAGAGTTCTGGATAATAGGGGGGTATGGGTAATACAGGTGTGCAATAAAATAATTTTGCAAACAAATGGCTGTGTAATTTTTTTTAGTTAAATTCTGCCCCATGACTTGTATTCATGAAGGATTAGCCTACTATTAGGCTTGAAAACAAACTTCAGTTGTTGGAGTACAAAAATGTTACAGCAGAATTATGGGGGTTTTGTGGTTTTTTTTTTTGTTTTTAACTACTCTCAAATCCACTCACTGTAGGTGGTAAGCAAACCCTCCAAATTTGTTTTTGGCCTGTGACTAAACATGCTTTCAACCAGATGAAAACTTATGTAGTGGCAACTTAAAACAGGAATAGATAGTGAGAAGTCCTCCTCAGCATTCTTGTCTTGTAGGTGCTAAAATTGACTTTTATATAGTGAGAAATGTGCATAAGATAGTACTGAACAAATGAATACTGACTTACTAAACAAAACCAGACTTCATGCCCAGAAGAATTTGCAGTCAGCTTAAACAAAATCAACAACAGAAAGTGACAAATGCAGCATGTTAGGATAAATAAGGAGACAGCTATAAGAAATGTGGCTGGTTATGGGAGCAGTGTGTAGAAAATTGTGGCTAATATGCCTGTGGCACAGAGTCACCTGTTCAACTAGTCTCAGACCTGACAAACCCTGTAAGCAGTATATTTGGTGTGGTATTTGTCCATAAAAAGTAAAATGTAAGGTCTCTGATAAGTTGCATGCTTTCAATAATGTTCATAATTACATCATGCTGTGAGTACAGGTACTATTTAAGCATAACTAACTGGAAACAGCTGAAGGAGCAGGAAAGCATTCTTTGAAGCCTGAAAGAGTGTGATCGATTATGTCTCAGTAGAAAAGGCAGGGGAAGAAGAACAGATATGGTAACTTTATAAGAGCCGTTTTAGTAGAGGGGTATGGCCAAGTCAGATTTCAGGGAAACTGGTATGCCAAGCAGTAGGAGCAGAAAGTACCTTATAAAAGTTTAAAGAGGGAAAAGGGTGGCAATTGCATTTTTAAAAAAAATCTTATGGTGCACCATAAGGTTTTTTTAATTGAATTAAATATTAAAATGAGTTAACAAGGCCTACAATGAGGCTAAAATTTCCATCCACAAGAGACTCTGGTCCTGTGATAACCTTATTACAATATTCTAGCTTCCATTTTGGCTTTCCCCTAAGATGTAGAATAAACCTTTTTTCATTTTTGTTACCTGGTATATTTAATGCCTTAAGGATTTGCAACTCTTATGCAGATTACCTGTCCATCTAATCTAGTCTCTTGTCTCCCACAGATGGTGATAATGCTGATGTTTCAAAGGAAGATGAGAACTCTAGATATGGCAAAAAATTTAGTACCCTGCAATACCCAAAATAAGGATATGAGAGAGGGAAAATAATTCTCACCAACACAAGCAAAACCCACTTCACTCATTTGGCATGACAGGTACTATTACCCATATTTTGAATTAGGGGTCAGACACTGCTGTGCATAACCACATCAGAAGGCACAGTGAGTCTCCACAGCTTCATCCCCATCACTTCCCAAGCAAGCCACAAAATCCCCCCCGCCCTTTGTCTCTGCAGAGAGCAGCCATAGTACTCTGGCTCTGCACTTCACACAATAGTTGTGCTGCATTTTGAGTACCTTACACCTACAGCGGAACTGGCCTACATCCTCTATTGTATGTAGCCAAATGCACAATGCCATAGGTGGGTGGCAATTTTTTTTTAAACCTTTGACAATCAGATGCATTACCACAAGTGGCAAAAATCATCCAAGATTTTCCTACTATATAATTGATATCCAGTGACCAACAGATTTTAAAGTGATATTCAAGATGTATGCAGTTTTGCTTAGATCCTCTTGCCTTTGCTAGTTTAAGTAGCTTTCTTGGAAAGTTACACACATAAGGTGGCAGGCACTGCTTTAGAATATGCTCAAGTACACTACAGTTCTACTTTAAACAGAGAAACTGAAGTTAACTGCCCAGTCTTAATATTTACAGCTTGATAAAATACTGGTGAGGGGAGAGCCTTTTGTGTTTTAACCTCCTGCTTCAGATGAAGTTTTGTCCTGGGTACTGTAACCAGTTTCAGTGAAGTGATGCTCTGAAAACAGAGCTAACTGCACCAGAGATTTGCGATACACAATTTGATGTAATGCAAATCTTTGTTCTATTCTGAACAAATTAAATTGGCAAAACATCACTCAAATATTTAAACAGAAAGAAACAGGTGCTGCCTATTTCTGTATGTGCAGTTCCCACTTGTTCAAAGGAGTTCTCCACCCAGACTACCTTCTAAACCGAATAGCAATATTTATTTTATTTTTGGTACTCTAGGAGCAACTGTTTTCTAGGGATAAGACTCAGAAAAGGAACTGAATGATTCTTGAAAGAGAATATTAAAAAGGGCAAGTTAAATAAATTAGAGGAAAATGTTAGATTCCTAGACAGTAGCAGACACATTAGTGCCGCTGCAGAATTAGACAGCTATGCATTTGTGTATATGAAGTACTTTCCACCTATTCAAGTTAAATTTAGGTGTGAAAGCAACTTTTTTTGCTGTTATTGCCAACAACTGAGCTATGACAGAATATGATGAGCAAGGGTTGTTTTATTAGATTTTAAAGGGAAACATTACAATCAGATCAGTACATTCCCCCATGAAATTAAATGACTAGTATGACGACCAACCTTTGAGCCACACATAAAATACAAGCCTGTCAAGTTTGTTCTTAGAATTGGATTCCATTTGGCACAAGAGAAAAGTTAACTTTCCAGTTGTTGGACATGCTGTAATATGTCCAGTGACAAGCCTAGCTGCTCTCCTAAACAGACGGTCTCTTCTTTAAGCCAAGCAAGGGTTGGCCTTTCAGAATGTGTGTGTTCTTTTGTTCTCCTACAACTGTCTGAATACAAAGAGTCAGCCCCACCGTTACTCCTGCAAGAGTTTTCACTCAACTCAGACTCATTTTCACACAGTCTTCCAGCTTCAGTTTCATCAAATTCATTCTCCACTGGAATTGTATGACTAAGGTCCATGTCCTGAACAGAATCCAGTAACTCTCCAAGGTGGGGCTGTGGACTGATAGAATTCATATACTTAAGCACACATTCTTCATACTTGCCAACTTCAGCCAGGAGGTTATTTATCTTACTCAGCAAAGCAGAAATTTGTCCATTAAGGTGACACCAAGACAAGAGTGCACTGAAAAGAAAAACAAAACAGGTGGAAATAAACGTGATTCTGAACACCTGCAGTGAGTTGCATGTTTGCTTGAGATTGGGTGAAAAGGTGACTAAAGTTAAAAAGTCATTCCATTTTTGTGTGTACATTTCATGCATGTGTGTTTCAGGAAATTTCAACAGGAAGAGCTGAATGTTCAGCCAAAAGTGTAGATTCAGATAACTCACTGAACCACTAATCTCCTGTTAATTTTAAGTGAGGAATGGGAGGTGGGCTAAGAATTACCACACTACATTTTTTTTGTTCTGAAGAATAATTGTAATAGCCAGTATCACATAGTAGTGTCTGTTGCACTGGTGGTAGTTCCAACACAGAGTGTGATGGTTACATACTCTTGCATCCAACAAGGGCAGAACGGTGCTCCACAAGGATGTCTCAGCTAACAGAGCCAAGAGTAAGACAAATGCTGAGGCAGGGTTCTCAGTGACAGGACCACAGTCCTTACCAGAGAAAAATCAGACTGACCTCTAGGATGACTTTTCTGATTAAAACACAAGACCAACCTTTTTGCTAAAGCCTTCCCAGGTAACAGCATTTTTTTCATGGCCAATTTAGTGCTACCTAAAAAATTATGCCTGATACTCATAGCATAGCTACAGGCATTTTAGGAATATTTTACATAATATAATCTGAAGTAAAATTTTCCAAAGCACCTAGATGACTTGGGAGTCTAAATTCGACTTAGTCAGTTTTTAAAATGGCATTTCAGCTCCAAAGTCACTTTTGAAAGTGTTACCCTGAGTCTTCTCAGCATTTGACAAACAGTAGATCCAGATTTCCATATAAACACACCAAATAATCTCAAAGCTTCAACATTTACCTAAGGGTCCCTTTGAGTTGGCCACAGGTCATCATCATCTCAGCACCCTGTTTGTAACCTCGATTGAAACCCTGCTGAAGTGAAAGCTCTTTCCCAGCCTCAACACCATCCCTATAGCCTTCCTGTAAGCAAGATGAAAGGTTACTGATGTCAGTAATCCAGCTACAAGCAGAGATTATTTTACAAGAAATAATACAAGAGTTCAAGTCTATATAAACATTCAATTTTTTTGGAATGTGTCTTTCTAATTTGGCTAGATGCATGCAAAACTTGTATACTGTACTGTCCAGCAGAAATGAGAGATTCACAAAACTAAAAGAACAAAAAAACTTTTCTTGATGTTTTATAAACATGGTCATTTTGACTTCCTTTTTCAGAACTATATACAGTGAGGTCAAAATAACTGATTGTACTATAAATATGTTTCTTTATTCCACACACATAGTAACATGCATTAGAACAGCAATTGTCTTCTTCCATACTGCAACCTCAAATTTCAACAGCAAAAAAGTTTCAGGACCCCTTTTACCATCTAACCACAAAAAAAGGATGGTAGTCACCACCCTCAGGCTGAGAAGCTATGAATGAAAACATAGTACATCTCAGAGAGCAAGTTCTATTTTCTGCTCAAGGAAATTGGAGATGGTGGAATTTCAACTATGAAAAGATCAGATGTGGTTAAACAAGGAGCTAGCCTCAGGAGTATCTTGAAACAGCAGAATAAAGTTTCCTTGAAGAAGCCAAAATCCAGATGCCTTTTTCAAAGAACAATGCTCTGTCTAGTCCAGTGGTTTTCAACCTTTTTTCATTTGCAGATCCCTAAACAATTTCAAATGGAGGTGCAGAACCCTTTGGAAATCTTAGACACAGTCTGCAGACCCTCATGGGTCTGCGGACCACAGGTTTAAAACCATTGCTCTAGTCCCACAGCAGTACCCTCCCTAATCTAAGGCCCAGACCATAGCTTCTACCCCCGCCCCCTCCGTTATTTTGATCAGATGTTGATCACCCAAGAGTGGAAGTTTAATGTTCCCGGCACCATGACTCATAGTGATGCTCCATTATTAAGAGCTTATCCTTTGCCCATTAAAGTAAATGGCATGAAATCAAATCCTAAGAGTCTAATACAATACCAGTTGAAGTTGGAGTTTTGCCCTTCATCTCAACCCTGCAGGATTTTAGGATTTCTTTGTTAACATGAGCCTTCATAAAAATTAATTTTTTCACTGTTATTTTCACTTCTATAGGAAGGCAAACTAGAGGAATTACTATATATTGGTTACTATAGGGCTACAATGAACTACTGATTTTTAATGTGGACCTGCAATTGATTTAAGTGGTGATTTCCACTATTTTAAAAAATGCTAAAATATGGCTCATACATCTTCATTTGCCTTGTTTAATTATATCACTCAAAATTTACAAACATGATCTCCTATCATGATACAACTGGCCTGAGTCTGGACTTTGTTTTGATTAAATTCCATATCTTTCTCTCCAGCCAGATGAACCAGATACCTGATAACATATGGCATTTATAGAATCATAGAACTGGAAGGGACCTCGAGAGGTCATCTAGTCCAGTCCCCTGCACTCGTGGCAGGACTAATTATCTAGAACATTCCTGACAGGTGTTTGTCTAACCTGCTCTTAAAAACCTCCAATGATGGAGATTCCATAACCACCTTAGGCAATTTAGTCCAGTTCTTAACCACTCTGACGGTTAGGAAGTTTTTCCTAATGTCCAACCTAAATCTCCCTTGCTGCAATTTAAGCCCATTGCTTCTTATCCTCTCCTCAGAGGTTATGAAAAACAATTTTTCTTCCTCCTCCTTGTGACAACCTTTTACATACTTGAATATATATGGGCACTTTACATGTTCAATGCACTATGCAAACTCATTAATACTCGTAACACACTAGGGGGATAGAAACATATTATTGCCTCATTTTATAGCTGGAGCAAATGTACTCAAGGCCAAAGAGCAGGCCAGTGAGTGGCAGAACTGAGATTAGAATTCAGAAGATTCTTCCTGCCAACCTGACCTCCCACTTCTGTCTTTTTAAAGAGAAACTGTGGCAGGCACCCAGGGACCGTTTTGCTATTGCTGTGATCTCCATCAATAAAGTGAACAGTCGCATGACTAAATTTGTATATTTTTGCCTCTGATGATCTAACCTCCTATTGAGGTTCAGGAATTTATACAAAGAACACCCATGAGTAGTTGGGGGAGTAACAAACATAAATACATTATGCACCAAGAGCAGATTAGATATGCAGAATTTTGACTACAATTTCTCAATTTGCAGGCACTCTCCCCCTAGAAGAATCTCAAGTGTGTTCTGGTTGGTCACATTTCCTTAATAACTTGCTCAATTTTTAGTTTATACAGAACAACTTTATCTACAATAACTTTTAAACAGCCATCCTCCATTTTCTCTTAAAACACTCATGCAGGTATCAATTTATGTATTAAAGAAAATGGCCAAAAGGCTACTAAAAATAAAGTAATGGTTATAAAAATTACTTTGACTCTTTTCTCCATGGTGCTCTTCCATTCTTTCTGCACTAGATGCAGTTCATCAGAATCTTCATCAAACACATCCTCACTGGGCCGGCTGACTGCAGCTTGCACCCACGACATTGTAGTAGTAACAACCAGGATTCCAGTACATGTGGTCAAAGTGTGAGAATCTGAGCAGTTCTTCCTCCTGGGAATCAAGTTAAAACCACAGGCAGCATGTACAAGAACCAGAGATCCTAGATGGATGCACTTTACTATCACAGTACACCTGTAGAGATAAAAAAGTCAGACTATCAAAGAAAAGCCATCTTGCAAGGTCATAATTTCAGCCATCTCTTAATTTCTTTGTTTCCAATAACATTAACACACATACAGAGAACAAATTTACCATCCCTATTTAGGATATTTTATGCCTCGAATAGAAAGATTTCTTTATCTTTTGAGTAAAAGGATTAGCTGTTTCCAGCTGAAGCTTATTAAAGATTAAAAGACTAAATGGGTTGTTTTAACTTTTGTATTGAATAAAGCACAGAGAGGCTAAAATCTTTGCTTTATTGACTTGGTTGGATTTGTGCAATCCCGAAAATTCAGCCACTCGAAAATGGGTGAAGAGAATTACAGCAAAATCTGTTTTATGGACTCCACTTCCAATATGCAGTCTTCATCGTAAGCAACAACTTCCGAAGTTTTTAGTATTATTTTGTTCAATCTTTAGGGATGGGAGATGCTCTAGTAGTTAAAAGACAAGACTGGGGATTCAAGAATCCTGGCTCCTGTTCAAAGTCACATACATCACCAAACTGAGTCACTTAATTTATTTATGCCTCAGTTTCCCCATCTGGAAAACATGGATAATACACATATTGTCACCTTACAAAATTGTTATCAGGCTTAAGGTATTCATAAAGCGCTTTGAGATCACAGAATGGAATAAGTACCAAATATTATAGTTTAATTAAACCACCACCACTAAATGACCTGTTTTTATTGGTCCCTTGAGTAGTTTCACAGCAGTCCCCAAAATGGGAAAAGCTAATAAAAAAGGTGCAGGGGCAGAAGGAAAGAAAGAGCGTGTGAACAGGAAGAAAAGAGGTCCAATAGATCAGAGATCAATTGACTTGAACTGAAAAGAAAGTCAGAGAGGATCGATCACTGGCTGAAATTTAGAAGACTGCTCCATAGACTGGCCCCCTGGATAATGGGACAACATAAGGAAAACCTGAGGACAGAAATAGTAATTGCACTCCAATGCCCTATCTATTACGCCACCCTGCTTCTTCTGGGAGAAAGCAATAAGGCAGACTGGAAGGATTGATAAGAGATGTATACAATACAGATGTGTCTGTCCACCTGCATTTCTCTGTTACTGATAAGAGAGTGGAAGGCTTCCCCCCACCCAGTTTGTGCTTGATCATTTAGAGACAAATTCAACCTCAGTCACACACAAAGCCTCCTCTTTCAGGCACTAGCAGGCGGGGGAACTGAGGTTTCTCTCCCTCCAGCCCCTACTCGCTCAATCTGCTGCCCCCGCACAATCATCCCTTACCAGGAGGACAGACTCTTCTGCCAGGGCTAACAGCCCGCCTTGCTCGCAGCCCCTGGTGAAGAACAGAGCGCGGCCATTTTGTCTAAGGGCACACTACCTTCACGCCGATTGGAAGCAACGTGGGAACAGCAGCCATCTTTGCTAAGGGCGGCCTCACTTCCAACCCCGCGGCAGAGAATGCAGGGAAACGGCGGCCATCTTAACAGACGGCCGCCTGGCTTCACACCCACTTGAGGCAATGGGGGAGAGGGGTTGGCGGCCATCTTTAGTAAGGGCAAAAATCGTTTCTCAGCACCCACAGCTTAAAAACCGCGGCCATGGCGTCGCCTTCTCGCCAGGAGGCGGGTCTGGGTCTGGGACGGGCCTAGGGGCAGCCCCCGGGTTCCTGCGGCCAGCTTGACATGCTCGTCCTCGGTGGCCGGGTTGGGAGCGTCTCAGACCCCTGCGGGGGGAGGGGAGGTAACTATGGCAACAGGGATTAAACCCGGCCAGAGAGGACGCGCCCCGGGGAGCGGGGCTGGGGCAGCAGTAGCTCCCCTTCCGGGTGTGCGTGCACGGCGCTGGCCCTCCGCTTGTCACCCACCGGCCTGGCTCACCAAAGGTTGTGCCTGTGCCCAGGTGGCGTTGCACGGAGCTCCCGGGGGCACCTGCTGCTCTGCCCCCTTCTGGGAACGGAGCTCCCGGGGGGGCTGCTCCTGCATCCGCCCTGGCCGGGGCCTCAACGAGGGTGCATTCATAGCCGTGTTGTTGTCATCCCCAAATCCTCAAAAAGTATGTCGGCATCCCCAACCCCTCCCAGTCATGAGACAGACTTAAAAATAATAAGATTTAAAGATAAATCAAGGAGTGACTAAAACATGAGTTATTTTGCTTTGTCTTTTGAGCCTTAAGGGTGCACGTGGATCACGCTTTCAAATTTTCTCCATAACCATGAGGGCTAGAAATACAGAGTGAAAAAAAAACAAAACAAAACTTGAGATTCTCGTCTAATCACTTGACTCCAGGAGCTGGAGCTCTAAGAAACACCAAATATTGTGTTAGGGTTGCCACCTGCCTGGGTTTTACTCGCACAGTCCAGTTTTTGGCTTCTGTGTCCGGGTGCCAGGTGCCTAGTTTTCGGCAGGACACCGAAAGCCTGGTTACTGTGTGTGGGGGGAGGTGCCCAGTCATTAACCTTTGCCAGCCCCTGCTTAGCAGGAGCTACCTCCTACCTTGGGAGGGGAAAAGGGGGCAGGGTGGGGCCTCAGGAGTCTGGTTACCAGAATTAGAAAAGTGGCAATCCTACCTGAGATTCATGCTAAAATTCTCAAGAGTTGGCAACACTGCGTGTGTCCTGTCTCTGGAAACCAACCTCATGGGTTTTTTTTTTTTTTTTTTTTTTGCCACTGCCAGTCACCAGGGACTACCTGGTGCCACAAGCTGATCATGGAGCCCACAGCTTGGCTCACAGGGACTGTGTGATGATTCATGATGCCCTTGAGCTGTCTATATGGATTGTGTAGTGCCTAGAACCACTTTGGAGACAATACTAATGTGTCTGATGCTCCAATGTGAACATCATAGGGGGAACTGGGGATAGAACAGAGTCACTTTATACCCTGAGCTGTGTCTGTGAAATGCATGATGCCACAAAACTATCTAGGAAAATTCACTCTCCAGATCTGCAAAAACAAGACCTCAATATCCCCAAACCAAAAACCAACTAACTCCCCAAACTCCTTTGATCATACTGTGACAATGAGGGTCCAAACACCCCAAGGGGAGAACAGGGAATTTGAACACTAAAGGATAAGCAGTTGAATTAACTGAGTATATAAAATGTTAGTGTACTATAAAAGTATATTGAGTCAGGTCTTTTATGAAAGCTTGTAATGTTCTGAACTTGATGGTCGTTATGAGATGTCTACAGACTGTGGTTATGTATTTATGTAGATATACAACTCTGCTCATAACTTGTTCTGCAACGTTCAGCTCCACGTCACAGCACGGCTCCAAGCACCTAGTATTGTACAACCCAAATGAGTGAATGTGGGTGTGAGAGATGGGTAAATATTTCAGGTTTTCAAGAAACCATAAATTATACTGTATCACTACCTTAATATATTCTGAGAATTTTCTTTTGACAGCATTCCATGAGGCTAAAATGTAGCCCTCAGCACATCAGTAAAGTATTTATAAACTGCTTGCTCTCATGCCATTAGAAAAAACGATGGTAGCAATTTCACATGTGCTAAACAAGTTTTCTGAGAAGCTGAAGATTTTGCTTAGCTAAATTATTAAAGCAGTCACTACTGGGTATCTTCCATCCTCCCTGATTGGGCTGGAGGGAAAGGATCTAGGCAGTGGAGGTCACTGAATTACCTAGCTCAACATCAAGCTAGTAGAATGCTCCATAATCACCAGTGTACAAGAAAAATAAAGAATATGCTGAGGTCAGAGAGGGACCAGGCTCAGGAGGGAACCACAGGCCTGGTCTCTACACCTAAAACTTAGATCTACCTAGCTACATTGCGCAGGGACATAGTTAAGGCAACCTAAGCCCCCTATAGACACCGCTAGGTCAGTGGAAGAATTGTTCCTAGGGTGACCAGATATAAGACAAAGCCCTGAATATCGGGATTGTCCCTATAAAATAAGGACATCTAGTCACCCTAATTCTTTCATCAGCCTAGTTACCACCTCTTGAGGGGGTGGATTAACTACACCAATGGAAAAAAAAACTTTTTGTCACTAGCACGTGTGTACACTATGGTGCTACTGCAGCACTGTAACTGTGCAGCCATAGCATCTGTAGTGTACCCGTAGGCTGCATGTGAGCAGGAGTAGCAGGCTGGAGGCAGCAGCCTGGGAGCTGCCTGTGGAGGGAAGGCTGGGCAGCAGGCAACATGAGAGCTAGGCACCCACATCTTGTTATTGGCAGGAGGATACAGGGCAGTGGCCTGCAGATAGGAGGATGTATATGTAACCCTTCTGCCCATCAGAGTTAGCAGCAACAAGGGCCGGGTTCAGGATCTAGGGGTTCCTTTTCAATAACACAAGGCAAAACCGGCTCGAGCCCCCACCCAGTGACCTGGGACAATTACATACCACCGCCCTGGGTGCCTCTAAGAGGCAATACTTCCCCTCTCGCAAGCAGAGTCTAAGTGTAGCAAAAGCCTTTTAATAAAGGAGGGAAACAATGCGGCATGATGTTGGGGAAACACCACAAACAGGATTCATAACACAAACCATGAGCAAAAGACCCACCCCCAAGTAAGTTTGGCAGTGTCCTTTTCCCCTCAGGGTCTTAAGTCCAGCAACCTACAGTGTCTACCTTTGGTCAGTGCAGCCCCAGAGTGGTTCTTGAGTCCAGCAACCCAAAAGTCACCCCTCCCACAGTTTCTGTCCTTGGTCAGTGCAGCCCCGGAGTTCAGAAGTTCATCTGCAGAGTTTACCTCCCAGCCTGAGGGGGGGCGGGGAGGTATGGGGGCACCTTACATGCTCCGCTGCTTGGGTCGACGTCCGATTGCCACGCCTCTCCGTGGGGTTCTGCTGCAGTCTTCACCGCCAACCGCGCCTCTCCGCCAGCTGTCCTGCTAACCGCTCCTCTCCGCTAGCCGCCCTGCTAGCTGCACCTCTCCGCTAGCTATCAGAATGTCACGTGCCTGTGAATTAGTGTCCATGTTTAAATGTATTATTTATAGATGAACTATCAGGTAAGATTGACATTCAATTCCGACTAGGAACTTTAGCAAAAATGCGTAAGTGAAATTTCCTAGAGATGGTATAGGGTGTTCTAAATAGCCTAACTAACTTAATTCTCTCTGTTTAAGAGCTGTCATATTCTACTCAGGAGCATCTTTTTTTCAGGATTTTTAGCAGAAACATTTCCATTTTAATAAAAAGACTGATTTAATAATTTAGCTAAGCAAAATCTGCAGCTTCTCAGAAAACCTGTTTAGCACATGTGAAATTGCTACCATCGTTTTTTCTAATGGCATGAGAGCAAGCAGTTTATAAATTCTTTACTGATGTGCTGAGGGCTACATTTTATCCTCATGGAATGCTATGTCAAAAGAAAATTCTCAGAATATATTAAGGTAGTGATACAGTATAATTTATGGTTTCTTGAAAACCTGAAATATTTACCCATCTCTCACACCCACATCCACTCATTTGACAATGTCTGCTTTCCTGAATTACCCACTCTAAACATCACCGATTTTCAATTCTCAAAGGATGACACCTAAAGTTTGTATGTCAAACAATAAGTATATGCCTGTGTGTTTGTGTTTTATAGGTAAGTATTTTTACTCTGCTATCTTTGTGCTTTTTATAGAGACTCCAAAAAGATCAGGGGCATATTTCAAATTCACATCAATAAGGACTCCACGCTCTGTTATAAGGTTTTCATTCAACTCCATCCCTTAGAATCTTGTAAGTAATCTCTTGGATATCCTACAGGCTCTCTTTCATAAAGCTTTCAACACAGAGCTGAGCAGGCTGCGTGTCTGTGAAGTTGCCTGATTGAAATGCCAATATTCTACTCTCTGTGCTCTGAAATTTACTATCACAATAAAACAGACACCTTCCCCTGCATACCAAACTGAGCTGGCTATGAAGAACAACCACTGAAACCCCTCATTGATTTCATGGATCTGGTTTAATTGACATCAGCATTCAATCCTTTCTACTGTCTTATTCCATTCATTGTCTCCCTCTCCTGGCAGTTCAGACTGGATTCACTATACAGCAAATCTGATACCGAATTGCTGCAATTCTCCACCCTGCAAAGAAAGGAGTCAAATTATTGTTGGATGATAAATAACTAATCTCTTTGTTTTTCCCTCCAATTCTTTTTTGGTATTATTTACATCCCCTACAACTGTCTCTAATGAGGGAGAGTATGATGCATTGCTTGTGACAGCAGGGGCTAAATGCGGTGACCCAAGAGGTCCCTGGCAGTCCTATGTTCCTGTGATAGTGTGGATTGATGGCATGCATTTCCCTTCCTGAACCCCAAATCATTGGGGCTAGAACTGGTAGAATACTGTAAAAATATTTTTTAATAATTTATTAAATGATTGATGGGGGG